TGTGCTCCACACCTGAAACTAACACAGCATCGTGAATCAACTGTGCCCCAATAGAGACAAAGCAAAACCACCGTACTGTAGTCTTTGAAAGGAAGTTACTATGCAATGCACATTTAAGGAATGGGGAGTTATGCTCCACTTCGTTGATGGCATATTTGCATTAATTATTTGGAATTCTTCTGCCTGGAGACTTCTCTCTTCTCCCTTTCAATGATTTATTTAATCACTAATTTTTATTGGTGTGGACTCATGGATATTTATCTTATACTTTGGGTTATAATTTAATACTGTGTTATTTATTTTATTGCTCAAATTGTTCCTGCTTTCACCACTGGGCGCTCTCTGGTGTTGGCTCCTGTGACCCTCTGACATGCCCCCATCATTTGTTTTCTGAGCACTTTTTAATTTGCTGGCACTAGAAGGTGCTCCAGGTTCATCTTGTGTATTTTCTTCCCAACCCCTTAATCAGCCATTTTTTTCAAGGACCCCTGATGAATGTTAGAAAATGCTATTAAAAACCAAGATATGGGCCCTAGCTATACCTAGATATGCCTCTCTATCTATCCACTTGTCCATATTAAGCTAAATGTGAGTCACCCCTGTGCCTCTAGCTTCGTCCAGTCCTGCACGATCCAGTCTCGTGTCTCCCTTCACTGGGCTGGAGCCTCTCATCCCACTGTGTCTCCCTTCACTGGGCTGGAGCCTCTCATCCCACTGTGTCTCCCTTCACTGGGATGGAACCTCTCATCCCACTGTGTCTCCCTTCACTGGGCTGGAGCCTCTCATCTCACTGTGTCTCCCTTCACTGGGCTGGAGCCTCTCGTTCCCACTGTGTCTCCCTTCACTGGGCTGGAGCCTCTCATTCCCACTGTGTCTCCCTTCACTGGGCTGGAGCCTCTCATTCCCACTGTGTCTCCCTTCACTGGGCTGGAGCCTCTCGTTCCCACTGTGTCTCCCTTCACTGGGCTGGAGCCTCTCGTTCCCACTGTGTCTCCGTTCACTGGGCTGGAGCCTCTCGTTCCCACTGTGTCTCCCTTCACTGGGCTGGAGCCTCTCATCCCACTGTGTCTCCCTTCACTGGGCTGGAGCCTCTCATCCCACTGTGTCTCCCTTCACTGGGCTGGAGCCTCTCATTCCTACTGTGTCTCCCTTCACTGGGCTGGAGCCTCTCATTCCTACTGTGTCTCCCTTCACTGGGCTGGAGCCTCTCATCCCACTGTGTCTCCCTTCACTGGGCTGGAGCCTCTCATTCCCACTGTGTCTCCCTTCACTGGGCTGGAGCCTCTCATCCCACTGTGTCTCCCTTCACTGGGCTGGAGCCTCTCATTCCCACTGTGTCTCCCTTCACTGGGCTGGAGCCTCTCATTCCCACTGTGTCTCCCTTCACTGGGCTGGAGCCTCTCATTCCCACTGTGTCTCCCTTCACTGGGCTGGAGCCTCTCATCCCACTGTGTCTCCCTTCACTGTGCTGGAGCCTCTCATTCCCACTGTGTCTCCCTTCACTGTGCTGGAGCCTCTCGTTCCCACTGTGTCTCCCTTCACTGGGATGGAACCTCTCATCCCACTGTGTCTCCCTTCACTGGGCTGGAGCCTCTCGTTCCCACTGTGTCTCCCTTCACTGGGCTGGAGCCTCTCATTCCCACTGTGTCTCCCTTCACTGGGCTGGAGCCTCTCATTCCCACTGTGTCTCCCTTCACTGGGCTGGAGCCTCTCGTTCCCACTGTGTCTCCCTTCACTGGGATGGAACCTCTCATCCCACTGTGTCTCCCTTCACTGGGCTGGAGCCTCTCATCCCACTGTGTCTCCCTTCACTGGGCTGGAACCTCTCATCCCACTGTGTCTCCCTTCACTGGGCTGGAGCCTCTCATCCCACTGTGTCTCCCTTCACTGGGCTGGAGCCTCTCGTTCCCACTGTGTCTCCCTTCAATGGGCTGGAGCCTCTCGTTCCCACTGTGTCTCCCTTCAATGGGCTGGAGCCTCTCATCCCACTGTGTCTCCCTTCACTGGGATGGAACCTCTCATCCCACTGTGTCTCCCTTCACTGGGCTGGAGCCTCTCATCTCACTGTGTCTCCCTTCACTGGGCTGGAGCCTCTCATCCCACTGTGTCTCCCTTCACTGGGCTGGAGCCTCTCATTCCCACTGTGTCTCCCTTCACTGGGCTGGAGCCTCTCGTTCCCACTGTGTCTCCCTTCACTGGGCTGGAGCCTCTCGTTCCCACTGTGTCTCCCTTCACTGGGCTGGAGCCTCTCATTCCCACTGTGTCTCCCTTCACTGGGCTGGAGCCTCTCATCCCACTGTGTCTCCCTTCACTGGGCTGGAGCCTCTCATCCCACTGTGTCTCCCTTCACTGGGCTGGAGCCTCTCATTCCCACTGTGTCTCCCTTCACTGGGCTGGAGCCTCTCGTTCCCACTGTGTCTCCCTTCACTGGGCTGGAGCCTCTCATTCCCACTGTGTCTCCCTTCACTGGGCTGGAGCCGCTCGTTCCCACTGTGTCTCCCTTCACTGGGCTGGAGCCTCTCATCCCACTGTGTCTCCCTTCACTGGGATGGAACCTCTCATCCCACTGTGTCTCCCTTCACTGGGCTGGAGCCTCTCATCCCACTGTGTCTCCCTTCACTGGGCTGGAGCCTCTCATCCCACTGTGTCTCCCTTCACTGGGCTGGAGCCTCTCGTTCCCACTGTGTCTCCCTTCACTGGGCTGGAGCCTCTCGTTCCCACTGTGTCTCCCTTCACTGGGCTGGAGCCTCTCATTCCCACTGTGTCTCCTTCACTGGGCTGGAGCCTCTCATCCCACTGTGTCTCCCTTCACTGGGCTGGAACCTCTCATTCCCACTGTGTCTCCCTTCACTGGGCTGGAGCCTCTCATTCCCACTGTGTCTCCCTTCACTGGGCTGGAGCCTCTCATCCCACTGTGTCTCCCTTCACTGGGCTGGAGCCTCTCATCCCACTGTGTCTCCCTTCACTGGGCTGGAGCCTCTCATCCCACTGTGTCTCCCTTCACTGGGCTGGAGCCTCTCGTTCCCACTGTGTCTCCCTTCACTGGGCTGGAGCCTCTCATTCCCACTGTGTCTCCCTTCACTGGGCTGGAGCCTCTCGTTCCCACTGTGTCTCCCTTCACTGGGCTGGAGCCTCTCGTTCCCACTGTGTCTCCCTTCACTGGGCTGGAGCCTCTCATCCCACTGTGTCTCCCTTCACTGGGCTGGAGCCTCTCATCCCACTGTGTCTCCCTTCACTGGGCTGGAGCCTCTCATCCCACTGTGTCTCCCTTCACTGGGCTGGAGCCTCTCATCCCACTGTGTCTCCCTTCACTGGGCTGGAGCCTCTCATTCCCACTGTGTCTCCCTTCACTGGGCTGGAGCCTCTCATTCCCACTGTGTCTCCCTTCACTGGGCTGGAGCCTCTCATCCCACTGTGTCTCCCTTCACTGGGCTGGAGCCTCTCATTCCCACTGTGTCTCCCTTCACTGGGCTGGAGCCTCTCATTCCCACTGTGTCTCCCTTCACTGGGCTGGAGCCTCTCATCCCACTGTGTCTCCCTTCACTGGGCTGGAGCCTCTCATCCCACTGTGTCTCCCTTCACTGGGCTGGAGCCTCTCATCCCACTGTGTCTCCCTTCACTGGGCTGGAGCCTCTCATCCCACTGTGTCTCCCTTCACTGGGCTGGAGCCTCTCATTCCCACTGTGTCTCCCTTCACTGGGCTGGAGCCTCTCGTTCCCACTGTGTCTCCCTTCACTGGGCTGGAGCCTCTCATCCCACTGTGTCTCCCTTCACTGGGCTGGAGCCTCTCATCTCACTGTGTCTCCCTTCACTGGGCTGGAGCCTCTCATCCCACTGTGTCTCCCTTCACTGGGCTGGAGCCTCTCATCCCACTGTGTCTCCCTTCACTGGGCTGGAGCCTCTCATCCCACTGTGTCTCCCTTCACTGGGCTGGAGCCTCTCGTTCCCACTGTGTCTCCCTTCACTGGGCTGGACCCTCTCATCCCACTGTGTCTCCCTTCACTGGGCTGGAGCCTCTCATCCCACTGTGTCTCCCTTCACTGGGCTGGAGCCTCTCATCCCACTGTGTCTCCCTTCACTGGGCTGGAGCCTCTCGTTCCCACTGTGTCTCCCTTCACTGGGCTGGAGCCTCTCATTCCCACTGTGTCTCCCTTCACTGGGCTGGAGCCTCTCATTCCCACTGTGTCTCCCTTCACTGGGCTGGAGCCTCTCATCCCACTGTGTCTCCCTTCACTGGGCTGGAGCCTCTCATTCCCACTGTGTCTCCCTTCACTGGGCTGGAGCCTCTCATCCCACTGTGTCTCCCTTCACTGGGCTGGAGCCTCTCATCCCACTGTGTCTCCCTTCACTGGGCTGGAGCCTCTCATCCCACTGTGTCTCCCTTCACTGGGCTGGAGCCTCTCATTCCCACTGTGTCTCCCTTCACTGGGCTGGAGCCTCTCATTCCCACTGTGTCTCCCTTCACTGGGCTGGAGCCTCTCATCCCACTGTGTCTCCCTTCACTGGGCTGGAGCCTCTCATCCCACTGTGTCTCCCTTCACTGGGCTGGAGCCTCTCATCCCACTGTGTCTCCCTTCACTGGGCTGGAGCCTCTCATTCCCACTGTGTCTCCCTTCACTGGGCTGGAGCCTCTCATCCCACTGTGTCTCCCTTCACTGGGCTGGAGCCTCTCATTCCCACTGTGTCTCCCTTCACTGGGATGGAACCTCTCATCCCACTGTGTCTCCCTTCACTGGGCTGGAGCCTCTCATCCCACTGTGTCTCCCTTCACTGGGCTGGAGCCTCTCATCCCACTGTGTCTCCCTTCACTGGGCTGGAGCCTCTCATCCCACTGTGTCTCCCTTCACTGGGATGGAACCTCTCATCCCACTGTGTCTCCCTTCACTGGGCTGGAGCCTCTCATCCCACTGTGTCTCCCTTCACTGGGCTGGAGCCTCTCATCCCACTGTGTCTCCCTTCACTGGGCTGGAGCCTCTCGTTCCCACTGTGTCTCCCTTCACTGGGCTGGAGCCTCTCGTTCCCACTGTGTCTCCCTTCACTGGGCTGGAGCCTCTCATTCCCACTGTGTCTCCCTTCACTGGGCTGGAGCCTCTCGTTCCCACTGTGTCTCCCTTCACTGGGCTGGAGCCTCTCATTCCCACTGTGTCTCCCTTCACTGGGCTGGAGCCTCTCATTCCCACTGTGTCTCCCTTCACTGGGCTGGAGCCTCTCATTCCTACTGTGTCTCCCTTCACTGGGATGGAGCCTCTCATCCCACTGTGTCTCCCTTCACTGGGATGGAGCCTCTCATTCCCACTGTGTCTCCCTTCACTGGGCTGGAGCCTCTCGTTCCCACTGTGTCTCCCTTCACTGGGCTGGAGCCTCTCATCCCACTGTGTCTCCCTTCACTGGGCTGGAGCCTCTCGTTCCCACTGTGTCTCCCTTCACTGGGCTGGAGCCTGTCATCCCACTGTGTCTCCCTTCACTGGGCTGGAGCCTCTCATTCCCACTGTGTCTCCCTTCACTGGGCTGGAACCTCTCATCCCACTGTGTCTCCCTTCACTGGGCTGGAGCCTCTCATTCCCACTGTGTCTCCCTTCACTGGGCTGGAGCCTCTCATCCCACTGTGTCTCCCTTCACTGGGCTGGAGCCTCTCGTTCTCACTGTGTCTCCCTTCACTGGGCTGGAGCCTCTCATTCCCACTGTGTCTCCCTTCACTGGGCTGGAGCCTCTCATCCCACTGTGTCTCCCTTCACTGGGATGGAACCTCTCATCTCACTGTGTCTCCCTTCACTGGGCTGGAGCCTCTCATCCCACTGTGTCTCCCTTCACTGGGCTGGAGCCTCTCGTTCCCACTGTGTCTCCCTTCACTGGGCTGGAGCCTCTCATCCCACTGTGTCTCCCTTCACTGGGCTGGAACCTCTCATTCCCACTGTGTCTCCCTTCACTGGGCTGGAGCCTCTCATCCCCCTGTGTCTCCCTTCACTGGGCTGGAGCCTCTCATCCCACTGTGTCTCCCTTCACTGGGCTGGAGCCTCTCGTTCCCACTGTGTCTCCCTTCACTGGGCTGGAGCCTCTCATCCCACTGTGTCTCCCTTCACTGGGCTGGAGCCTCTCATTCCCACTGTGTCTCCCTTCACTGGGCTGGAGCCTCTCATTCCCACTGTGTCTCCCTTCACTGGGCTGGAGCCTCTCATTCCCACTGTGTCTCCCTTCACTGGGCTGGAGCCTCTCGTTCCCACTGTGTCTCCCTTCACTGGGCTGGAGCCTCTCATTCCCACTGTGTCTCCCTTCACTGGGATGGAACCTCTCGTTCCCACTGTGTCTCCCTTCACTGGGCTGGAGCCTGTCATCCCACTGTGTCTCCCTTCACTGGGCTGGAGCCTCTCATCCCACTGTGTCTCCCTTCACTGGGATGGAACCTCTCATCCCACTGTGTCTCCCTTCACTGGGCTGGAACCTCTCATCCCACTGTGTCTCCCTTCACTGGGCTGGAGCCTCTCATTCCACTGTGTCTCCCTTCACTGGGATGGAACCTCTCATCCCACTGTGTCTCCCTTCACTGGGCTGGAACCTCTCATCCCACTGTGTCTCCCTTCACTGGGCTGGAGCCTCTCGTTCCCACTGTGTCTCCCTTCACTGGGCTGGAGCCTCTCATTCCCACTGTGTCTCCCTTCACTGGGCTGGAGCCTCTCATTCCCACTGTGTCTCCCTTCACTGGGCTGGAGCCTCTCATTCCTACTGTGTCTCCCTTCACTGGGATGGAGCCTCTCATCCCACTGTGTCTCCCTTCACTGGGATGGAGCCTCTCATTCCCACTGTGTCTCCCTTCACTGGGCTGGAGCCTCTCGTTCCCACTGTGTCTCCCTTCACTGGGCTGGAGCCTCTCATCCCACTGTGTCTCCCTTCACTGGGCTGGAGCCTCTCGTTCCCACTGTGTCTCCCTTCACTGGGCTGGAGCCTGTCATCCCACTGTGTCTCCCTTCACTGGGCTGGAGCCTCTCATTCCCACTGTGTCTCCCTTCACTGGGCTGGAACCTCTCATCCCACTGTGTCTCCCTTCACTGGGCTGGAGCCTCTCATTCCCACTGTGTCTCCCTTCACTGGGCTGGAGCCTCTCATCCCACTGTGTCTCCCTTCACTGGGCTGGAGCCTCTCGTTCTCACTGTGTCTCCCTTCACTGGGCTGGAGCCTCTCATTCCCACTGTGTCTCCCTTCACTGGGCTGGAGCCTCTCATCCCACTGTGTCTCCCTTCACTGGGATGGAACCTCTCATCTCACTGTGTCTCCCTTCACTGGGCTGGAGCCTCTCATCCCACTGTGTCTCCCTTCACTGGGCTGGAGCCTCTCGTTCCCACTGTGTCTCCCTTCACTGGGCTGGAGCCTCTCATCCCACTGTGTCTCCCTTCACTGGGCTGGAACCTCTCATTCCCACTGTGTCTCCCTTCACTGGGCTGGAGCCTCTCATCCCCCTGTGTCTCCCTTCACTGGGCTGGAGCCTCTCATCCCACTGTGTCTCCCTTCACTGGGCTGGAGCCTCTCGTTCCCACTGTGTCTCCCTTCACTGGGCTGGAGCCTCTCATCCCACTGTGTCTCCCTTCACTGGGCTGGAGCCTCTCATTCCCACTGTGTCTCCCTTCACTGGGCTGGAGCCTCTCATTCCCACTGTGTCTCCCTTCACTGGGCTGGAGCCTCTCATTCCCACTGTGTCTCCCTTCACTGGGCTGGAGCCTCTCGTTCCCACTGTGTCTCCCTTCACTGGGCTGGAGCCTCTCATTCCCACTGTGTCTCCCTTCACTGGGATGGAACCTCTCGTTCCCACTGTGTCTCCCTTCACTGGGCTGGAGCCTGTCATCCCACTGTGTCTCCCTTCACTGGGCTGGAGCCTCTCATCCCACTGTGTCTCCCTTCACTGGGATGGAACCTCTCATCCCACTGTGTCTCCCTTCACTGGGCTGGAACCTCTCATCCCACTGTGTCTCCCTTCACTGGGCTGGAGCCTCTCATTCCACTGTGTCTCCCTTCACTGGGATGGAACCTCTCATCCCACTGTGTCTCCCTTCACTGGGCTGGAACCTCTCATCCCACTGTGTCTCCCTTCACTGGGCTGGAGCCTCTCGTTCCCACTGTGTCTCCCTTCACTGGGCTGGAGCCTCTCATTCCCACTGTGTCTCCCTTCACTGGGCTGGAGCCTGTCATCCCACTGCCGCCCCTGCCACCATTTGCACACACTCAGTTGGTGAGAACGCCGAGACTGGCCCTCCTGCGCCGTGGGTGGCAGCGCTGGTACACTTCCTTTGTGGAAAGCAGTTAAGTAAAATGTGTCAAGAGCCTTAAAAGTCAGACAGTCCAGTCATGGTTCAGTTGGTTAAGAATCTGCCTGAGGCCCAGGTTTGATCCCTGGGTGGGGAAGACCCCCTGGAGAAGAGCATGACTACCCACTCCAGTGTTCTTGCCTGGGGAATCCCATGGACAGAGGAGCCCGGCAGGCTAGAGTCCATGGGGTCGAAAATGCAAATAGAACTGAGCGACTAAAACTTTCACTTTCCAGTCAAGGGGGACAAAGACAAGAAAAGCAGAAGCAGATACTCCAGTGGGGAGGAGCGCAGTAGACCCGGGAGGCAGCGGGTAGACACAGATTCGGCTTCCTTCATTTCTCCCAGGAGAGGCAACTTTTCTGGTCAGAGCTTGCCTGGGGACCTGCAGCTGATGGTAGGGGGGATACAAAGTATTTGATGGGCATATGCCACAAATTCAGTTCTTTATCAGACATGTGTTCTTGACATTTTCCAAGAGAATTAATTGTTCATGATTTACCTCCGAAATCAACTGGCTGGTAGTTGTTGAGAACTCATTTTAAACCTAAAAAAACCCATGTACTGCTCTTCCCGGAGGGTTCACGGTCTAGATCCTGTGAAGTTTACGCTGGAAGTATGTGTGCTTAGTCGCTCAGTCGCGCTAGACTCTCTGCGGCCCCATGGGCTGGAGCCTCCCAGGATGCCTCTGTCCGGGGAATTTTCCGGGCAAGAGTACTCGAGTGGGTTGCCATTTCCTCCTCCAGGCGATCTTTCCCAACCCAGAGATTGACCCATGTTTCTTGCATTGGTGGGCGGATTCTTCACCACTAGTACCACCTGGGAAGCCTTTAGTAAGTTTGAAACAACCTGTAAAACAACAACCTGTAAAAACAACTCAGGCATTTTCCTGGAAACAAAAAAGGGGGGGATCCCTAGGATAAGGGGGCACTTATTCTACGGTCTTCACCGAGCCCCTTCAGCTGCCCTGCGCTGTCCAGACGCCAAGGTAGGTCACCGGTGAGGTTACAGCTTCCTCACAGTTACGCGTGTGATACATGACACAGACTCAGGGGCTGAACTTTAGTGATTCTAGAGTCTTTCTCTTCAAAGTATCAACTGCAAAGGAGCATAAGTCTGAAGTCAGTGAGAGAAGGGTAACTATAACTTGAAGCAAGGAATAATAATTGTAAACCATCACCGTTCATTTGAGAAGGGATTAGCAAAGAATCACTTCTCAAAATGAACTCCCCAGAGCTGCTCTCTGCTCTTGATTTGATAGGCACGTTGCTAAGACTCTGAAAGAACAGCCAATGGTGCTTGTGCTACAACCTTCTTGTGCTACAGAGAGTCAACAGAGAGGCCACACAGGTGGGCTGGAGAGGAGAAGAGGGCAGAGTGCCCTGTGCTTCTGCCTGGTGGTTTGGGGGAGATAAGTCAAATTTAGGGGGAAGAAAGCTAAAAAGAATAAGTTGTGGCTGCATTTGAAAACCAGGATTTCCTTTTAGAGCAGAAGTCACTGGAGATGTTGAGCTGGCTTGCTGTTCATTTGAACAACAAGCATAATAAGGGTGATTATTTGGAAGTTATCAACAACTGAAAGGGCAAAGCCACAAAAATGTATCGTAACCAAAAGTCAAGTTTTATATAAGTTAGAACAACTGAAAGAGGAAATATAACCAAGTTGTAGGAGGTGTCCTGCCTCCCCTGGTGGCTCAGATGGTAAAGAATCCGCCTGCAATGCAGGAGACCTGGGCTCAATCCCTGGGTCGGGAAGATCCCCCGGAGGAGGGCATGGCTCCTCACTCCAGTACTCTTGCCTGGAGAATCCCATGGACAGGGGAGCCTGGCGGGCTGCAGTCCGTGGGGTCACTAAGAGTCAGACACGACGGAGCGACTAA